TATATATATATATATATAATATATATATATATATATATATATATATATATATATATATATATGTTCCTCCATATTTTTCTTATTCTTTCGTATATTTCCCAGAAACTCAGGAATAACTCCTCGAGTTTTCTGGATATGCGTATATTATTTATATGTAGTATAGCAATGTATATTATATGGGCCAGTTATATTATATGTTGGGCTATTGGACATTATATCAACAAAGTTTACGACATTTTATTGTACATCGATATTTGATGGTTTGCCTTATTATCCAGATATAGAAAAAACGAAGTTTGGAAACATGGAAGGACGGAGGAGACCTTTGTTATCAAAGTGGATTACCAGGTATTACCTGAACGCTGGGAGGTGTGAAAACATAGGCTAGCAGAAACGTTGCGTGAACTCACAACAAAAATCCTCATCATAGCGGATTTAGCAACTGGAAACTTGAAATCATACAATTAATACAATTGTTTATCAGCTTACTGAAAGAAGTAAGCAGTAGATACTATCCCATATATATTTTAATCGAACTGAAGTACAACGAAAATAATTTTTATTAAAAACTGGGAGTAAAACAGTGCAAAGGATGCATGGATAAAAACATATACAGTTCACATAAAAAGTCTCAGTTTTGATTCAGTTTTTTTTTCAAAGAAAATGAACTCAAATACTGCTGGATTTCCAGTAAGATAATGGAAGTACTCCAATTTCACGTAAAGGTTCATAGTAAAATGTAATTTAGGTTGGGAATAATCCTAAGATTTAAGTTTATGCATACAAAAATTTGAAAAGTCACAGCATTCTTCATTAAATCAACAAGGTTAATCAACCATATCCATAGGCCTACCAGCTGCTGATTCAATGTCACCAACATTAACGTTAGGCATAAAAACAGAACCTGGATGTCCCAAACCTTCATCTGGAGGAATTGCAGAAACTCCCCGACCTAATGGTCGTCCAGCACGTGAAATATAGGAGGGGTTGACGCGAATTCGATCGTCAAACTGTTTCATTAAAGCATCCAATGTGTATATAAAATTTGCAGCCTTATCCACTTCATGCTCATCCGCTTCTCTCTGTAAAGATTAGTTTAATCTATCGTTCAAAAGTAATAATTTTCTCAAAGTTCAAAATCCAACCATCAGTCAAACTAAAATTTAATTTCCTTTCATACTACAAGCTCGAATATTTAGGAAAGTATCCAAGTAAACCCGGGTTTATTAATTAGATCGCTACAGTTTATTAATTAGATAGTTACAAACATTAATAGTTAGGAACGCTAACATACAATGTTCAAATAATAAATATAAAACATAAAATATCACTGTAAAATTAATCAAATAAAATATGTCCACTTAATGATCGAGCATATTGGTCATTCTGATGTTTGCTTAATAATTCTAATCTATTTATAGTACTATAGCAAAAGAACAGAAACATTCAGCAAACCTTCATTTCAGCAAATTTAACAATGCCCTGTTTCTTATCGATGCGAACATTAATTTTTCCCTCTTTGCCCATATCACGAAGATAGAGTTCCGCGTGATCACTGTCATCTAGATGGCATCGTCGTGCTACATCCGACAGTGAAATTGATGTGAAACACTAGATGAAAACCTCATTAATTAGAAATAGAATATTTCAAAGAATTGGAAATAGAATACTTCAAAAAACCTGAAATAGAGCCTACCAAGACTTTTCCGAAAAAAAAGCTACCCTTTCTGTTACCACAATATATATCCTAATGATTTTTTAACTATAACACCAGAAATTTCGACTTTTTAATGATTTTTCAACTCGAGTAGAACCATGAATTTCATGAGTTAAAATAAAAAGATGGGAGCAGGACGGTTTTGTAGTTCCTGATTTCTCTATCTTCAAAATTAAAAAGAAAAAAAAAACGCAGACTTTTAAATTACTGATCAAGTTCCGAAAATGGAACTGTGGAAAATAATTATCAGTCGATTTACAGTTATGTCTCATCATCACTTTTTAAAAAAATCAGTTCTTTACTTTTCGGCTTGACTAACATAAGCAGAAAAAAGTATCCTGCCTGAGGGTTTGAATAAAAAACTTTCCTAACTTCCTAGTACCGAAACCTAAAAGACGCATCTGAGGCTATATAACTATCCATCAAACAGGAAATGTCCGATGATATTTCGAAGATATATTTGAAATACCAACCTCAGTTAATCTTTTAACAGAATTTTCACGAATACTCCTAACCACAAGTTTCACCAAGCCAACGGTATTATCCTGCAAAGAATACAAACTAGATAGCAAAACTGGAAATGAAATGAGATGGCAAAAGATCTACAGTCTATAAATTTTTCTAGAAAATATCAGATTACTCCGAAAAAAAGAAAAAAAAATGTGAAATTACTCTAAAAGATGCGCTTTCCCTTCCCTGTTAGTCAATAAAAAGAGACTGTAGTTCAGAAAAACAATGAAACATAGAAAGTTTGAATTTTCTTTATGGTAAATCTCCATATTATATAATGAAACCGTAAAATAAAACACATCCATTTTGAATCCTTTTTTCTAGACCTTTTCAAAACTTCTGTTTCCTCGAAGTCTATTAGATTAAAAATTATTTAAGAATAAGTACTTTTTCGAAAGTAGCGTAATGTGCTTCCAGGTATTCAAGTATGGCAGTGGCTTTGTCGAAATTCTCTTCTTCATTGTCACATATCCTTTCTAATGCCGAATAATCCGGACAGAGTGGAATAATGCTACGAGTCATCACTGGCGATCGGTAATTAGACAAACGAAGTGTCTTCCCGTACAGAAGCAATGACAACAGCACATATATCTACAAAGTAATGAAAAATTAAATCTGCATTAATCTTAGCCCAAAACTCAGTCCAGACACCTAATTCGAATGTGACAGTAACAATGATTGGGTAATATTCGAGTATATGACGAAAAATATTGTTCCGAAACTTCGTCAAGAATTGCGCATGTATAATGGACTGGCTAAATCCACATAAATAAACTCTGGTCAATGTAATGATGACTGCCTTATGTAACTTTACGATATTGATGCGAAGAAATAACCTTATAAGCTCGAACCACTATAGCGCTAGGAGAGATTGCTGGTATACAACACGCTTTCTGCATCATTGCAAATGCTTCTTCGTAACGACCCAAAACCGCATAAAGCAAACCACCATAATAAAAATATAATACCACCCATTTTGGGTCCATATAAGGCCCTGTTTGATTTGCAGTCTGGAATGAAGATAACACATAAGTTAGGCATGTAGAATTTATTACATATCTCGTTTTTCGTAGACACTAAATTTCTTCAAAACTTGAACCATATGATCCACATAATACAACTGCAATTATTTTAGATTCTAACAGAACTATATAGGAGATTATAATCTGTTTAAAATATAATAGCGAGAAGTTTTGCTACTTTGAGCAGCACAAGATTTCTAATAAAGATCACAGTGATAAATCATTCAAATTTATGCCCACCTCCTTAAATATTTTCGGTACAGCAAGATGCAAGAAGGGTATGGCTGGGTCATGTATACGAGCTTTAAGGCACAAACAGAAAAGACATGGATGCAGCGAGGTAAGGATGTCCTTTTCTTCTTTTACCAATACATTGATTGCATTTGTAAGCAACATGATACCACGAGCTGGCTGCAAATTTTACTCTGTAATGATTCTTGAGGATTCCATAGGTTGACAGTAGTTACGAAACCCAGAAATCCTGTTACTTCCAGTAGGACACTGCAGCTAATTCGTCTACTGCATAGCCTATCAGCAGTGTTACTTTATGCTCACTTGCTTCCTAAGAAAGCCATCGCCACCTCCCCCACTTCTCTCCATACCAGCGACAAAACTGTAATTTATGGGGAATGACGTATGGAAAACCAACAATGCAGTTATGATATCAAATACACCTTATTGATTTGAAGAAGATAATACTCGTATACTTTCCGGAAAAGCAACACATCTGAAAAGCAAAAATGATAGTATATAATATTCAACTTTCGTACGTGTGAAAGGAATTTACGTTTAAAATTGGAAATATTACATACTTTCCTTAAATTCCACAGGAAACTTAGAAAGGAACTTATGAAAATGAAACTACATAAACTCACAAATATCAGGAATGAATGAGATCTGCATACTATCAAAAAGTGGAACCATAGATTCCACCTGCGACAAAGTACGCTCAAACTGTAAATCAGAGTTTAAACAAAACAGAACATCAATGTTAAAAAATAAATAAAATAAAATAAAATCTGCTTAATTTTCAAAATGAATAAATATCAATATTACCTAAGAAATGACTCAAAAGGATTTCTCCTGTTTCATTTTTAGCAAAAGTTTCTTTGCCAACTCACCTTCGCCTTCAGTACAAAAAGCAAAGTTTTTAGAAGCCTGGAACAGAAACCCGAATGTAATAAAATGTGAAATGAAGCTTCATATCCGAAGATACATCATTCAACATCAAACGCTGATCAAAGATATACAAAAATTTTAGAAACATGATTTCTGCAACGTAACAAAACAGACTAAAGATAAGAATTTTAAAATCTAATATGAAAAGTCTGACCCTGTCCTTTACATTGTCTGTATAAATTTGATTCATTTTAACGAGCAATATCGATACAACTGACATCGAATACCGGTCAACAGCAAGTGTTTCTAATACACTGTCCAAATGAGGAATATTCCGTTCCAAAACATCATAAACAGCTTTTCGATGAAGATCAGCCAATTCTCTCCATGATGCTAAATCATATAACACCTTGAGATCAATTAATGATGAAATAAAATACGACAAAACAAATAATTGTATGGTGAATTCAAATTATAAAATAAGTGAAGGACAATTGTCAAAACAGTTTACATTTTCACATAGCCTTTATTAGATGTCACATATATTCCGGGATTTTCTACGGAGGCATGTGTAACATACGGCATAAAACAACGACTTGCAACTGTATCTTGATTTCTTCCATTATTGCATGATTCAAATATTTTGAAAATTAGCAACTTACCAGTAACGGTATGCCCCATAACTGTTTTTACAAACGTATCCAGCGTGCCCGCCATATTTCCAATGGATTAACTGCACTTTTATCGCCTAAGCTAAGCACGTGTAAAAATCACTCTGTTGGAGATTATGAAAAAAAAAAAACTACCTCGTCCTTCATAAAGTGCTTTAAGGATGTTACTTCGAAATTACGAAATCTAAAGACTTGGAAACACGGAACCTAACAAAAAAAAAAAAAAAACATTTTGCATGATATCCACTTATCTTCCTACGAAACTTCAACTAGCAAAGGTACCCCAACTCCAACAATGAAGCAGAACTACTGCAGCCTATAAAATCCAGTAATGAACAAAATGAAAAAACAAATAATATGCTTTGTTCGTGAACAAAACAAAGAAACAATACATAAAAGATAACTAGATTTTATCATTTGTGAATTAAATTATTCCACACAAAAAAATAATCTACAGGAAAAAAATCCTTCTGCGGAGCTACCTAAATACATATACAATCATTTCTGTAAATGCTCGGGAACTGGACGTGAACGATAATCTTTGAAGAGTTCTTTCAACTCCTGGAAATGCTCCGGGGTACTTGTACTACCCCAACCCATTGTAAAACGCTCAATTGGCAAGCGCACATCGCGATGCACCTCGGGGAAGAATTTCGCATAGTGCTCTGGTCGGAAGTGTTCAATCGGTGGCATGTTTTCATATTTCGCTTTTACCTGCAAATTTTACAGTGTTTGAAAATATAAATGCTTCTGACTATAAAATGAGAAAATTATGTACTGATTCAATGTTATCCTTGCTCTAAGATCGAGCAAGTCGCAATTCAGAGGAAACATTATAATATAATAATTAATGCCAATGCTTTTGTAGTAGTTAATATTCCGAAGGAGATTTTTCAGGCAATAAATGCATTATTATTATATAACAATGCAGGTTGGTTTATATGAAGATTCACCGTGAAGATATGGAAAGCTTACTTTTTTTTCATCCTCCGTAGCATCTGCCAACTTACGGTTCAGAAAATCCATTCTGGTGTTGATGTATTTCAAATAATCGCCAATTTCCTAAACGAAATTTTCTTGCAAATAAAAAAAATGAAGGATGCAGATCAGGAATATGTAATAGAAACAAACGAATTTCAGCTAAGAAATATCCAAAAAAAGAGATATCCAAAAAAAGGACATAGCATCTTTAAAGACGCATAAACTTTAATGTGATTATCAAACACCACTGAGAACTAATATACTCTAGACCGAATCTATTCCACACTTCCAAGCATTTGGTTATTGTCCTCAACTCACAGCTCCCCCATACCTCCACCGTGGGAGTCACAGTACATTTACCTCCAATGTAAAGGATAACAGCCCATGATGACGTACTTTTCATCGAAACAAGAGAGAAAAAAAAAACCTACTTTCATGAATTGCTCTGGCACTGTATGAAATGGTATTTTGATTGCTTCATACTGCTTTTGCAGCTTATCCAAGACAATTGCATGCTCAGGCATTTGCTTCTTCAATTTTGCAAAGTCATATTTTGGCAGTTCCGCAGGTTTAGACAACACAGTACTAAGGTATTGGTGATGATGTTGCTGAAACATTTAAAAATACATCAGGAATTCGAGATTACGCTAATATTTAATTACACCACATATTTTAACAACAGTGAAACTTTGGTTAAGCTACCGATGGCATTAAAATGAAAGAAACAGCGAAGAAGAATGGTTAAATAATAGATTAAAGATAAATGATGATGGAATCAATGATAAAGATATATAATATATTGCGGGTAATGCAATATCAACAGAAGTAAAGAACTGTAGATAATATAGCAAACATATTAAACAATTACAGCAAAGAGAAAAATGTTATCGTAATTTGCAAAAGGAAAATCAAATACTTACTGCTAAAGCGGTAACTTCTTTGGCATGCTTCTCGCCGACCAAATCACCAACCGTTTTGAAATTGATAGCACTTTGGGTGAATCGTTTGGTAGCCATCAAGAGAAACTGAAAGTAAATAATTAGTTAAAAGTAGTTATTAGATGAAGAAAATTAAGAACAGAATATTTCACAGTCATTTCCTGGAACAGAATAAAACGGTGGAGAGAAAGAAGGAGGGTATTGTATGATAAGGGCTACGCTATTCTAGGGTGATAGAGAGAAGGACCATCGACGCGTGAACACTATGTAACTTGCGGCAATCCACGGAAGTGCAGTAGTCCTCACAAGAACAGCCACGATCGCCGGCCCACCATGAAACACCGGTCGGCCCTATACCAATTTTTTTTATGTTTCTTTCAAAGGCAGTCACGCTCATGATCCTACTACACTTCATGCGTTTGAATAGAGTGTGAATATAGTACTGATGATGCAGTCACGTTGCATAATTATCAGCACACTTTATTCTGTACCGCGCCGTAGAGAGTTTACTGTGCAGCGGGAAGTGTTTTATAGCGACATTAGAAACTGCGGTACTAATTAGCCTACTGATATGATATCATATGATAAATATTTATCAGTATCGTTCTTCCTCCAGCATGTTACTCGATGATGAGGAGAAGTGCTTAATCAGTGGTTACTTTGTGAGAGTTGTTGTTTGTTTCTCCTTTATTGGTCAATTTGTAGGGTTTTAAAGGATGTATCTTACTTGCTACTTGATTATATTAGAGACTAAAATTGATACATTATCTTAGGTTTGTTTCATATAATACCAGACATTGCAAGTTTTTTTAATACGTGGATTCCTCTTCGGCAAATCACCGACTCTTCAATACCTCAATGATAGTAGGAAGTTGTTATGCATTTATTTCATCGTTGGAATCAGCTATAAATGACATAATTTATGACGTTCTGTTGTAGAGTAGATATTGGCCATAAAGTTCTGAGCTTTTCAGAATGAGGTTAGTTGTGGTATTCTCAGCAGTCGGATTCAATTCTTCTTGTTTATAACTTAAGATAACCGCCCTATCTTCTAATTCAACTTATTTCTGTTATATGGTTGTTGCTCTCAACCGAAGATAATATAATCATCAGGAAGTAATTTATATGTGTATTCATGTGATTTTCCACTTCGGGAGTAGAACTATTTGTATTGGGTTTAGTGACTGATTTCCGTTTGAGAAACAGATGTAAATTTAACCAAGACTATTTGGAAAGGATGACAATTCAATTTTATCAAAAATAACGAAGTCCTTCATGCGAAGTTGGAATTATTACCGCTAACTTGACTACTTGACGGCAATGCCGTATAAATTTTTCAAAAAGTCTAGGCGTGTGAGTAACCATACCTGGAATATATGCCACAACGAATAGTGTTAATGAATGAAATAATATTACTTGTCGCATACTCGTTCTTCCGTCCGGTTTCAATTTATCAATTTCTTCAAATATGCATTTTGAGTAAAGTGGCGATGAATATTTATATTGCTTACTTATTATCATTCGGTAAAGTAACTTTTCGAAATGTAAACAGGAGAGCATCATAAGGGGAGTTTGAGATGAACAGTCAGCGGACGAAAACGTGAGATTTTCAAGTTGTGGTTTTTTGTTCCTTCTTTTAAGATAGCTTTGAGCTGGACAGTATCAATGGCAAAGGTGGTTTATATATCCAATCTGATAGCAGTGGTAAATAATGTCGTAAGCTTATTTGTGTGTTTAATCTCCGTGTTTTGATGGTGAAAACGTAGGATTGTGTCCAGTAAAAATTTCAATCCAATGCACGTCAGTTGGTAATGACACGTGAATGTCGCGGCGAAATTCATCATAATTCAATTTAAATTTTAACAAGAAAATCCCCACCTGCCTAGTTTTAGAAGAATGACTACGTCAGTCATAATAAAAAAAAAATTTCCCACATTTTCGCAGAGGAGAAAAGTCCCTCGAAATTGTTATTCGGCAGCAACAATTACTGGAACGAGGAGAGGGGTCGATATTGGCTGGTTCCACTCTTCACCACCGCTCCCCGCCAATTATGTGTGTGCATGGTGGTGTGTGTGTGTGTGTGTATGTGTATGTGCGTGTGTGTATATGTGTGTGCGTGTGTGTATGTGCGCGTGTGTCTGGGTGTACCGGTGCGTATGGGGGGAGAGGATGCGTTTATGTAGTGAAAGGAATAATGCGGAGCTCACTTTTCCCATCGATCTGGACGAGAATTGAAGTGAGGGGAGAGAAAAAGGGGGAGAGAATGGAGGTGAAAAAAGGAGGGGAGTGAAGAGAGAGACGAGCTGAGGGATCAGAAGATCTGGGTAAAAAGGGGAGATGGGAAAGAGAACGAATAAACCGAATGAGGTTGTTTAAATTCTCGATTAAAAGATGAATGAGCGCTCTTGGAATGCATCATTTCCCTCAGTAATTACTGCCTGTGTTCTCCTTACTAGACATATTTTTGTTCTAACCACTCAATCCTCCAAGTCCGTCCCAGCGGGATATTGTGGCAGCAAATTATCATCATCCGTCAAAATGATACTGCATTTCCCTCCCCTCATTTTTTCCAACTTTCTTGCAGCAATTCGAAGTGCCTGCAACGATGATGATGATGACGATGACGCACACACACACACGTACATACATACACACATACACACACACACACACACATACACAACCACAAAGCTGTTATAAAGAAAAGGCTTAACCTTCGCAGCTGTTCTGGACAATATTGCCTAATGTTATCAATCTTCCTTTCTCCCATTATATGGGGACTTGCTCTGTGTATACTTTCTATTACATTCCACTTTTTTTCTTTAAACTTCTCTTGTGTACCTTATGTAAATTTACACAGTTTCCTTCTCTGACCACTTTAAAATTTGGAAAATCGACAGCAGCATTGCTGTTGAATTTCCAAATTTCTTCTCTGGTCTTCTCTTACCCTCTTCCCACTCCAATATCATTAGTGATAAATTCCTTTGTTAAACGATCTGTTTTTTGTGAAGAAGGGTAGAAAGCACTTGCTGTCTATTATATGTTGTTGACGTTTGCATCTTTATTTTTCCTTCTCCCTCTTTATATATGTCACCTCCGATTGGTCCGATGTTATCTGATAATGAATAGAAGTAGGATGAAAAGGGATGATGGCAGGGAAAGAGAAAGGAGGGAGCATAGTGGGAAATGAATGGGCATAAGAATCATTTCATCTTCCCTCCTCCCCTTCCTCTCTATTTGTAAAAAACGGAAGTAACTGCATTCTCTCCCTTTCTTCTCTCATTCGAAATACAAAAGCAACTGTTATGCAGATGTATTTTCGCTCTCTTTGTTGTAACAAGAGATTTCCTCTATTTCGTCCAATGTAATGATAACGATAATTAAGATCATGATGTGATATGATGGAACATCATCTTGCCCTTTCCTCTCCACTCCCACTTTAGCAACTATTCGTGAATATCTGATCCTGTTGGTATGAGATGAGGTGCAGTAGGGTAACCGTCGCATTCATGAATGTTTTCTGCCATTATTTATCGATGCATTAACCAAAGGCTGCGAGCTAGAGCAGATAGTTGGTCAATCGATGTACTTGCCACAAGACACCTTACATATTTGCAGAACAAAGAGCTTCCCTGTTGTCATTCTTCCTTTTGTCTTTCCTCAAAGGACTGGTTTTTCTTTCACAAGGGTTAACTGCAAGATCAATTTTCCCGTTTACTATCATGAAGGAATGGATGAATCGGGTCTTAAGCAACTTAATGAAGAGTACCGGTGGGTGTTTGACTTTTGCCTGTTGCAAGATGAAGCATCCCATAAGATCACGTTGGAATTCTTTCGAACGTTAGGTAATAGAGCCAGAGAGTTCCTCCCCCTCACCATAGATTTTCGTGGAAGTTGATATGCCGTGGTCAACATATTATCACGCTTTCCCGGAAGCGAGAGACGTGGGAGGGGATATGATACTGAGTCCCTGGCAGAGTGAAAGTCCTCGTATGTCATAAAGTTATTATGTGAATACTCAAGTACAAAGTCACTCAAACACAAGTACCTCATACCTCATCATCTGTTACACTTCCCAGGAGGCAATTTCGTACGATAGTCCCCGAACTTCGTATCACAACAAAATTAATTCTCTAGATTCCAGTACCATTATAGCTCCCTGACAATACGTGTTTATAATGCTCAAACTTTCTATTGGAATTCAGATCCTGATACACTAAGTTATCCAGAGAAGCTTATACAAAAAAGGTATATACGAAAGGTAGTTCCTTGTTCCTATTCCGAAGACAGTAGTGATGATCCCCCATGGCGAGTGCTGTTATCTGACCTTTCCAACTCATACCATCTCTTTATCCACCAGATGTTTTGTAACTGCTCTATCCTGAACCGAACTATGGTTGCTATCCGATAAACCTGATTTACTGAAGGAGATTGGTCCCCTTAGTGCGGCATATAAGTAGATATGTTGTCTGTATTCACATGTGTTGGCCTTTGTGAGTGCAATGAACAACAACCACCGACAAAACCATCAATCTTCCGTTAGAACTATATATAGTATATGTAGTATGGCCTATGGGTCTGCTCTTGCTCCCGCTGCTCTATGTCATAAATGAGGTTGGTTGTAGAGAGCGTTCGATTTGTCCTCTTTTACAAAGAGAGAGGGAAGGGATGGAAAGAGGGTCACATGTTCGGATGATCGATATGTAACGGAGGATGACGCTGATGATGATGAAATGAGATGGAGTAGTAGGGGTAAGCCTCGATCAATTAACGACAGAGAGCTGAATACGATGGAAAAGTAGGAAGGAAGGAATTCAGGGGAATGGGTTAGGATATTTACGAGCAGCAATTCCCCTCTTCCTTTCAACTAAGGGTGTGTTTGTCTGCGTGTAGTCAATCATCCTCTGTGTAACTTCATTTTAAGGGGTGAGAAGAGAAATGGAACAGCCTGGACGAAGTTAACATATTATGTGTAGCTCCACAGAAAAATGGGGCAGGTGTTACCCGTACCACTTCAACCTTCTCATCCTATTTGCCCATACAATCGGACAGGTTAACGACCACCAATAGAGCCTATTTCTCTCTAGCCTCGCTCTCTTCCTCTTTGTAACAACAGAGGAAGCTGTTGTTTTAGCTGCGTATGAATGGATGAGTTGCTAGGCTGTAAACATTGGATTACAGAATGCTGGGTTAAAACTTGAAGGGAAACATGGGTTGGTTGTGCAACCACATGAAACGTTAAAGGGCAAAAATTAGCTAAACATTTGCGTCGATTGTAATATGTGTGGGATTGCTCTTTCACTGCATCTATATATTTTTGTAGTGATGAAAATACTGTTGATAATACTGACCAACAGCATACTGCACTGTTTTCATTTCCTGGCAAAGGAAGCATTGACGTAATATCTTAGACTTCAACAATACATCTGTCATCCAGAAAAGGCATACGTTTAACAACAGCCATGCTTTCATTAAACCTGATTATTCCCAGATTTCAGGAGTCTTCAATATCATCCCTGTGCAGAAACCTAATAAAGTTTACATTTCCGCTAGATTCCCCTTCTAATAGTCAAGTGATGAGCCCATGTAATTTCCACTAGGTTTTCATTGTTTGTCGAAGTACAACGAAGCATATAACGATTTAGCAGGAAGTCCAGCTGCTAGCACTCCGAAATACAATAAATTAGTTACTGGAAAGCTTTGTGATATACAAGACTGGTTTTTGCAGTAGGATAATAAATGGGATCTGGATTGTGCAGCAACAAAAATGTTTTCAGGCCTTCCACTCAGACAACTTACTACCACATATACAATATCAAAAGTTCCTGATTTAACCATGTGCTCAGCTTTCACCAGACTAAGAGCCCTCTTGGTACTCTTATTAATTTGTTACTCTGAATTTAATCAAGCTTTTAATCAAGCTGGGAAAGAGTACGACAGCGAGATCTGTAATGCTACTATCAAAAAGGGATCTTTTGCGATCTCTTGTGCGAAAATACCATTGCCACCTATATTCGCTATTCCGCTTCATTACAGTTAGAGATGACTGTTCGACGGCTAATTTCGTGACCAAATCCTTTCCCAGACCTGAGACATCCGTACCTTGCATTCCGCTGCACAGTAAAATGTTTCCCAGATGCCCGAAAATTCTGGATGTTCTGGTACCAATTATTTCCAGTCTCACAAAAACTAGGCTCCTACGGGAACCACCATGAAATGCTCAATTTCCGCTAATACGGTTAGTCTTCTCATGCGCAAGACGTGTGAACAAGCAGGCCATATCGTAAGGTGCATTCATGTATGCCGACGACAAACATTATTTCAGGGAGAAGGATGAGTGGAAATGATGGGTGCATGATTCCAGCATATTCAAAACAAGCTCTGAAACAAGAACTACAGAATTTCGGTTAGCATTTTCGCTTCGTGATAACAGTGTATACCCGCAAATCTCAATATTACTGAATGTACGCTTTGTTTGCCACGTTTCCAGATGTTACTTTCGGGGCCCAGATAAGTGACAATCATCGACTACCACCAAACATCGCCATCCAATGCTTAATTCAGGTAAGGATTAGTGAGCTGTTGTAGAATGTTGATACAATGTTATCAGTTTCTCGTCCATAGCACAAACCACACCACAGTGGGATTTCTAACGGCCTCATTTCTGCATCTCCCTTAAATATCCCATATAAGCGCTCCTATGATAGGTGATAGTAAGGATGAACGCATTAGACCTTATCATGCGACATATATGAAAGGGGAGCTTAAGAAGGCGAAATTGTCAACATGACGAATACCACTAATGAGAATACATGTTAAATTATTAAGGTAACTACGGAAGAGGTAGAATGTGAAGGTACTCATAAAATGCGGGAAGTGTCCGGCTGGATGATTGCGCATTATGACACGAAATAACTCCATGTATTATGAAGGGTCCCTAAGTAGATATGATTTTGCAGCTCTGCGAGTCACAGCAACTCCCCACAGCAGTCTGCTTGATGGAACTAGTCAGCAGAACGTTTATTCACGGGAGGGTTAGATTTCACTTTCTCGAAATCTTAACAGAATGGGCTTCGTGCGATAAAGTTGTGTAATGCTGTGTCACTTTTTCGATATCTTAACAACTTCGTGCGATAAAGTTGTGTAATGCTGTGCTGGATCAAATTAGATGCATAAAACTTAGCCAAAAACGTATCTCTGTACTGACTTGCGAGGTGGAACTATAATTCTGGTTACTAATTACTTCTATATAACATGGTATTGGGAAGGGCGGGAAAGGAGCAGATAAGTGTTTTAGCGATGCGTTGAGTAATCAAGCAATATGATAGGCGTGTTACATGGTATACTTTGTTTTAATGTGAAATACGAACGAAAAGAGTGGGAAGGGGGATGGAAATACCTACCTTATTACTAGTATCCTGAAATATATGTGGGGAAGAAGGCCTGAATAGGATTGGCACCCACCATGATGAGCCATTGCAGATTGATTCCAAATTCGGCCAGTTCATTTCACCCCAATACACAATGTGGTACAACAGAAAGGAGAAAGACGCTATCTCCTGCACAACCCACTACCATCGCTGCCACCGCTATCCTCCCTGACGACACGGCACACTAATGAGCGAGTTGCCACGGAATGGATGACAGACGAGGGTGAATGGGCGGTACGTTTGATGGTTGGATGGGTGGTTCCAGAACGGCAAACGGTACTTCAGATTAGTAACTATTGCCCTACCCACTCCGATCTATGTGCTACAGGAGTGGGTGCACAAGGAGAAGAGAATCTCGACATTCTGTTAGGGGAAAGCAGAGAGAGAAAGAGATATGTGGAAGGAGACCTTAGATGTGGACCCCTCCCATCATCCTTTAGGTGTAAGCGTTTGGTGCTTTCTGGGGTGGATGAAGGAGGAGGGTTGTTGTGCTTGCCACGTCAGTGCAGTCGTTGCCTGTGATTCTGCCGTTGACTGACTGACGACTATGGCGACGACGACGACGCCGGCGACTAATACTACTACTATTACTATGACTACCCCTAACAAGGATTCGTTATCCTTCTTCTGTTACTTTCTGGAATGTATCATGATCTTAACATATTTACATTGTTTATCACACAGTATGTGTAGACGTTGTCATACATACCTTTTCCCCATGTATTTCATCTCTCTGATGAAGACTAACTTGGTTGTATTCGTGTTACGCTGATGGATGAATGTTTTGCTAACTGGATTTCCTTTTCCGTTTTACTGTTTGCGTTTTTTTTCGCTTTCGATATCACTTCCTGTGATGTTTATTTGGTGACTAAATTCATGTGGAGGATACGACCAAGTTTGACGGTTACGCGTCTCCGTTAACGTTGATGTGGGAAATAGACGAATGTTGTGAAATTAAGATACGCATTGTCTTGTTGGGAGTTTGCCAAGAATCTTCAATCGATTGATGTTAAGGGGTGATTGCGCCAACGATTTAGGATGACAGTTCACAGAATATGACCGATAGTTCGTGTTTTCACATTCGTTTCTCAAATCACTGTTTAGCTTCAAAACTTAATTGAGTGGGTGACATGGATAGGTTGTCTCAAAATAAATAATTTTAGGAGCAAAATCATATTTTTTTAAGACATACATTGATTTCCTTGCCAAGACTTCCAGGTAGGATTGGACAGGCGAAAGTAGGTAATCTATTTGCCTACTTTTGCAGTCTGGATATATTCTTTGATTATATTTTTGATTGATTTCTTCACAATTCGCATTGTTTTACGATATCAGTGGGTGGAATTTATAAAGAGAGTAACGCCTCGAACTTTGAGAGTAATTCTTTAGGCATATTTATTTGTCGTACTTTTTAGCCGTAAAAATATTCCACCAAGATGATGTAAAGTCTTTACCTGCAAAGAAGCACGTTTCCTTCAAGTAAATTATGCCAAGATTTCGTAGGATTCTTTTTATAAGTTGGAGTTGAACCAAAGTTCTACTTTCGTTTCGAAACAGTTTTTGGATTTAAATCTAATTTTTCTTAATACGGCGAAATAATACGCTGTAATGTACTGCTGTTCACAGTGAGGATTAGTTGCCTTAATTTCCCAATTGATACGTTCGCGAAGTTACATAGGAAAGACATGGTGGTGATAAGAAAGAAATATGAGGTATCAGGAAATGTTCAAGTCTGCTGCTGCTGAACAGTTGTGTTCTTAGCATCTATCTATCGTTAACGTGTTGTTTCGACTGCTGCCGAGACTACTATTATTGTTGCTTGTTCGCTCCTTTATGCTTTATCACAAGTTTTATCCTTGTTGACCTCTAATCACTTAATTCTCTGAATCACTTAATTCTTTAGTAGTACTGGTTGGATGCATTCATTTCTGTTCTTCATTTTTGGAATTTCGTCGCGGAAATCATATCTTTTTTCCTCTTTCCCATGCCTGGCATACCACTTTTTTTTCTTCAGTTTACGGAAACGAAATGTTGAACCTTATTTTCTCTTTTTCTAGGGGAATTAGTTACTTCATATTCAGATAATAGCACTTTTGATTTGTTATATTTGTTGTGTAGGGGATGCTGTCATGAAGTTGTCAATTAAAAGATATTTTCGAATGGTTAGGCATGCCACGGATGTCATAATGTCAATATATGATCACTTCATTTGGTGAAGCCGATATAGTTTTCTATTTTTACCTGTCTTCCCTGATTTGTAAGTCATCATAACTAAAGAATTAGAGCAGGGATGGGACGTGCACAATTCAACGCAATAGATAAGGAGAGATTGATGGAAGCAAGTGAACTATCTTGCAACTTAGAATTTTACACTGGTCGTTAATCATTGGGAAAGCTGGCGTGAGCGTTTGACGTTGGTGAGGGTGAGAATTAACTGGTGGGAACAATTATTAAGGGTTTTTGGAAATCTGTAGCAGGATATAATTGGGGTCATACGGACGATTGTCTTGTTCATCTCTGAGAGGAGGGGATTCAGGAAATTATGATGATTCATTCGTTGTCAATTCGTATTCCCATCGTTTTTCAGATTGAATTACACTGGAAGCATCGGGGAATATTTTAGGGAAGGAGAGAAGGGAGCATTATTGAGCAATGTTTAACATTTTGGTGGGATCCGTTATTTCATTTGGTTTTATTTCTTCATTAATTATCAGCTTATATATCCATCATTCCTTTCTCTGACTTGGATTTCCTCGAATAATAATTTGAACTAAGGAGTTTTGTACATTTTTCGTTTTGACGAGAAGTAAGGATGAAGTGCCAATCATTGAATGTGTTGGTTGACATATATTTTGTGGAATTGACCATTTGTGGTGTCGGGTTTCTGGGTTAGGAATTTCCGAATATCAGGTATCAAACTTGGGATGTGTCTCAAAAGTACTTCATGCTTACCTTCTTCAAAGTTTCCCATCTTTTTCCTTTCAATGATTCATGGCACATGGAATTGCTGGTAGTTTATGTCATTTAATTGGAATTTGCAAGAATATTTGTTTAATTTTCAGTGAACGTTCTTTTTTTTTACGTATTTACCGCTCTCTTCAACTACTTGTGTTTTCCAGGACAACAGTGTGACAAAGATACGCGTAAGAAGCAGTTGATGTGTGGAATATAACGGATGAGGGATCATCCTGTGCAATACGAAGTATTGTTTTGGAAACGTCAGGAGGATTCAGATTCATTTGACAAAGTATTCAGAGAGGGAAAGAAGCGAAAAAGTCACGATTAAGCGGAAAAGTAAAAGGAATTAAAATATTAAGCTAAACCAGCCGTTATACGTGTAGTAATTCTTATCATTTAAAGATAGCACTGTCCAGAAAATTGTGATTTGTTAGCGATCAACGAACCAATCAACAGCTGCACGCGCCTAATTCCAATTCTTCCATGGAATGGTTATCAGCGCCCAAGTGCTTAGTGTTAACGTTGGCGGAAGCAGTAACAACAGTAATAGCGGTAATAGTGATAAAGGAACAAAATCAGACATTGTTAATAAGAACAGTTCACCAGGAACGACAAAACTTACGACTGGTGACGAAATCGAAAATCAAGAAGATCAGCAGTCGAAAAATCAAGAGTGTAGCATCAATCCATTGGTTGCGAAAAGCTCGCCTGCAGTCTGGTTTAAGCATCAACAACCACAGCAGCATCCTAAGTGGCTGCTAAGTTGTTGCACATCAAATCTTACCACAGCTGCGCAACAATTAACTGTGTTGATTGATAGTATCGGTGGCTGTATTCCAGATCCTCTCGCAACACCAGCGACCAATATCGCTTTCATTGCTACTGCTATTGATAGTAAGAATACGACGATAACAACAACCACAACGGTTTCAACAACTGTTCCTGAGACTACGACAGAACAGGATATGAGCCGAGAGAGTCGTCATGTCCATGTAATTGGCCTACCGGATAGTCTTTCGGATGAACGAGTCTCATCATTTTTTTCCACGTAAAAAACTTTTTCCTTTTTTCTTCTCTGGGTTCCTTCGCATTACCAGTTAATAAAATGTGATGTAAGTGAGCTATATGATATATTGCACGATGATATTTACAAATTTCATGAGGGGAAGTTAAGCAGAATAGATGTAAAACTGTCCTACAAAGGACTTGATAATACTTTGACGCGCTTTAAATCTTGCTGAGATCTTCCACGCTCACGATCCTTACGTCTCATATTAATTGCTCACCAAATGTATTGCTTAGATAAATGGACTTAGAAATAGCGGTTATTGGAGTTAGTTAAAACATGGAATATTGTTCGGTCTACTAATTCTGGTAGTCTTATTCATCACAGGGAACTGGATGTCGGGGATGGAGATGTAAGCCTATTCTCGATGAAAATGGTGTCGTAATGGACCATTCCTTAATGAGTCAGTAAAGGTGTAGTCGTTCAAGATATCGCTGGAAGAAATCCTCGGATTCATAACCCAGACTAATAAAAACTTCCTTAGTAACTAGAAGTATGTAATCCGAACATTTATTTCATCAATGATCTTAGTACTTCATCTTAGCTAAGCAACTGAAGCGCACTTACAAATAGATGTAGCATTATGGCATAATTTTCTTTATCAAGCAGTAACTTTGCAATTGCTAGAACTAACCAACCATGTTTCAATTTTGAGTGACCAAAAAGGAAGTGCTTGAAGTAAAAAATGAACGCAAATTATTAGTTGTCGCTTCTGGATGGTGTCATCTGACTCGATTCACTTTATATTATTTTCCTGGATGGTATTGAATAAAGTATTAAAAAGGATGGGAAAAGTGTTGGTTGATGGTGGTGAGATGTTAAAGATAGAATGGTGGATCGAAAATATTTTTGTGCATCTTGCAAATTTATGCAAAAAGTGCAATAAACCATTGCTGTGTCGCAGTGGAAGTGGTGTTTACATTTGTTGATTTTTGATTACTCCTAGGACTCTTCAAACACTTCAATAAACTTCCACAAAGCTTTCTAGTGGTCGATTTCTTATTGCACTAGGTACTTAACGCATGCTATAGTAAACATTTAGCAAACTGCAACGCTACCGGGGAATGGTGGTGTAGGAATTGTAGTTCTACTTACATGTACATACATGCGTGCATTGTATGGTGTATAGTTGTGCGTAGTATGTTGTACCAAAAGGAGTTGTAGCTTGCGGGATAATGTACAACGTCTATTCATCATTTCTTGGTTCACTAATCTATGTAGTGTATTGGTAGTCTCCGAAGACCAAAGACCAGAATCCCTAATTTTTTGTTCTCACAAGCGGAAACAATGCATATATGCTTCCTACTCTTGCCTACTTTGTGACGTCGTTTTCCACTATCCTCTTCATTTCGCTGGACTTTGTAAAGTAGATAGGTTAACTTGTCATTGTATGGATTGGGCGATGGTAGGTAGAACCTTGTTCTTCATGGTCGTTTTAACGAAACTCATCTACCTTATTTGTGCCATAGTGAAGATTGCACTCTGTTACAAGGTGATATCGTTTTAGGTTTGCTGGAAGGCTTTTGAAGACGTGATGGTATGAAATTGAGTAATGTTGGTTCATGTGTGGGTACGGTGTCGGTGACAGTAATAGCGGAACATTCTTTTTCTTTTTTGTGTAGCGACATCATTCAACAGTACATGAAATAAGTGGACGTGAGGACAGGAAAGGCGTTCTGCCGATAATTGTTACAAATTTTTTGTGGGTGATTTGGACATCCTCGTTACTTGGGTTTTAACGTCGGTGATTTAGAAGAAGAGGAGAAATCAAATTGAACGTTTTGTGTCTTTTAGGACAAGTAGAGATAGTTCATTTTGGTGGCAGATGTGTGGTAGGATACAATGATTTATATTTGATGGTTGGGTAGCTTTTTTGTCAAATTCCTTAGTATAAAAATTTACAACAATAATACATTGAATATCATGCAGAACCGCCTGAGGTTGCAGTGGGACGCCTATCAAATAGTTGTATCATTATCATCGACATCACCTTCCATAAAGCATTACGATTAGCACCTTTAATTCTCCTAGTTATGCAACACGTTAGACGGTCATTTTTTTTGGATGAGTCAAAAGTAGCCGCTTTGTTTCGGAATTATGAACAAAATTGATAATTTCCTGGTATATGCGAGATTACGTACTTTTCAGATTTGGTCGTGTTCAAAAAGTGGAACGCCTGGGTACCACCGGTTTTGTGGTTAGCTTCATGGATGTTCGGTCGGCACAAAAAGCCCATTCAACGGAGCCAAAATTTCAAGGTCACAAGTTACGAATCGCATTCCACGAACAGAGCAAGAAGTGAGCAGAAAACTCCTTATCTCGCAAATATTACTTACTATTACTATGGAAAATCAAAATTGATTACAATTGATTCTGCAGCTGCTGGCCTACCTACCTGACTGACTGTTAAGCTACTTGTCTAGCTTTCTTAAGCTAGCTTGCATCAGCTTGGTTTTGTTTCGTTTTCTGCAGTGCTACCGGTTTCTACAGTTCAAGTGCCACTTTGTGGCAGACTTTTCACAGCATTTACCTCCTTCATCTACATCTATGTTATCTACCTCTGTTACGAGTTTTTTGTTTATAGCCGTGGTACCTCCGGTACTTGGGTTGTATCTTTGATGTTGCCGCTGCCTGTGTAGCAGGTGTGTCTTAGTTCGAATTAACAACTTAATTCTGGCGGATTTTTATCCGCTTTATGAACTGTTTCGGTTTCTGCCCAGAATCTACCTCGAACTTCTCGTCGTCTTAATTTTAATCTTGCATGGATACGCCATGGCTATTTCCATCGGTTCGCTTGCTGCCCTGACCGTCGGCTTTGTTGGAGCTGAATAGCAGAATCGAGTAGGTATTGTATTATAAATCGTAAACGATTTTTATATCGTTTTCTATAATTATTGATGCGGTGTTTTTTCTTTGATCTTGGGTGGTACCTTACTATATGTGGTGGTTATCATTTGAATCAAATACCACTGTTTGAGGAAAAAGTCGAATCATTTCGAAATCTTCCTTTATGGAGTTCCATCGCTTGATTTTTTAGAATTTCTGAACACATATTTCACTAAAGTGTCAAAATCAGCAAATTGTGCTAGTGAGGTTGTGAATATAATTCTACGTTGATGTGTTCTCACATATTCCTTTCATCCGATCCCCATGTCGAAGGAGGTATCTTTTTCCCTGTTTCTGAAATCTTTGCTGCAGTGTATCAGTTTTCAGCAGAAGAATGACAATGACGGTTGGAAAAGGAGTGAAATTTGTTATGTTGTGCGCTGTGGCAGTGGAGCATATTCTTAGACGCAACTGATTGACTTTAACTGGTATAAAGTGAAATATATTAAAGAATGCGAGATTGCATACTTTGTACTGTTGGATCCTCTTTCAACATATAAGTTTGAAAACTGACACTTCGGGGTTATTTGAATTGCTTGTTGGCTTCTCTTTGTTGTAAGGATTGTTATAATGAGTTAGGTAATTACCAGCAGACTAAAAATAAATTTCAGGGGTTTGTCATCGGGAATGTACGTTGTATCTATCTTCTTGCGCACTCTAACTGAATCATGTTTTTTTCGTGCATGATTAAAGTTTGAAAGTATTCGACCTGGTTTTTCATTAGTCGTCTTTTTAGATACCGTTGAATATCGTAATTTCATGTCTTCCCACTTCTCTTCAGTATGTTAGCATTGTTAGCAGTGGGAATTTTTGGTCACTTTATAATCGACTTAAAATAGTGGGGAGTATTTTCTTTTACTGTACTTCTTACTTTTTGTCGTTGAAATGCAGAATGAATCCGAGAATTTAAATTCTTCCCAATGTTCTCCAACATTTTCTTTGGTCGCTTCCATGCTTTTTGCCTATACACTGTCTGTTCTTTGCATATATTACGTAATGAAGTAGGAAGGTGAATAGTGAAGTAGGAAGGTGAATGGGGATGGTATAGAATTTATTTTGAGAGTCTTATAGTTCGCAACTTCATAAAACCACATCCACTTTTGAATATTCCAGCATGCTTAAATTTTGGGAAAACCCATAGCGTCATATGTGTTGCTGTGGACAAGAAAGAAGCCATCCCTTCTCTGCCGTATTTAGTTGAAATGTAAGATGAGCTCCTTACTTTAAATTTCAAAGTGTCATTTCTCACCAGAGGGGTTCGAAATCTTGTGTGAGCGTGATAAGTAGTAGTTGCCGCATGAAGTTGGAGCCGTGCTAAAGATTTTGACGGCTAGCATACAATCTTCGACTTATTGAAAGCAAAGCTTTAAAAATCGAATAGTTTCATCGATTAAATATTTGGCAAATTTACCCAGTCATCCTGAAGTTAGTTGCTTTTTGATTTACATAATTCCATTACATTGGCATTTTCTCTGTACATCTCACGATTCAGAGCAAATCTGTTTTTACGGTTCATCTATACAAGTTGCTCCGCTTCTTCCACTTACATTTTCATATTAGACACCTTCTTGTCCTTTCTGATTTCATTTCGTTTTGTTTAGTATTATTTTCGTCGAAAAACTCATTTGCCCTGATTTTTCTGTTCTTCCTACTTATTTTTGTTTCTGAAATTCGTTAAGAGTAAAATGTTTTAAAAATGAAATCACTCTTGGTGTTGAAAAATGGAGAAATGGATGAAGTAGAGGAGGACGAAGGTTGAAAGAATCTATGCAGTATTAAGCATTAACAGCCTTTATCAAAATGAACTAATGAACCATTGCTTTTCCTTTGTTTGTCGTCTCGACTATATGTATTTGTCGTCTCGACCTATATATAGTTTGTCGTCTCAATCTATATATAGTGGAACGCTTGCAGTTGCATTCCACTCTATCAGTTTTGATTTTTCGACTAATTCTCATCATAACCGTGCTGAAAGTTGACGATGGTATGCTGACTTTCTACTGTTAACAATTTACATCGTTCTGGTGCATTCCAATCATCACCCTTTTTTTCCCTTGAACATTAAATACGGTCCCCCTCTTAAGAACCCAATAAATAATGCGCAAATACATATTCAAGGTTTTGGATTTTTATGTTAATTGACCTTTAGGTGTTTTTCTTGCAACATCAGTCATGCTATTTGATTGCAGCGGCTTGGTGAACCCGACAGCATCTAGTAATGCAGCTGGGGTTGGCTCACCTCAGAATACGAAAAATGCTAGCAGTGGCAGTACGACGATCGATTCGCATCGACGTTCATCTGACCTGCATTCACCAAATTCATCCTCATCAAAGCAGATTCAGAAAGAACGGCAAGTTATTTATATAGTAATTCCCGATCACTGCAATTATTTTTGTGACAAAATGTCATTAATTTTGATCACGAAGTCTGCACCGTCATTTTTCCTCATATTATAGAACGTCACAACATCGACTTTCATCATCACGGCGGCAGTCTCGAGAACGTGAACGTGACAGAGAACGAGGAAATTCGAGTCGAACTGATGAACGATCTCAGCGAAGCAGGACTTCAGGCAATAATGACCGGTAAGTTGAAAGTAGCTTATGTAGTACATCAATAGAAGAGATGACACCTTCCACTTGTACAAGATGGAAATGTATGACTTTGAATCATGGAACTTGCGAAATGAAAATCGTATTTTCAACTCTTCTGATGTATTTTGTACTTTTTTGTTTGTTTCTTAAATAAGCGATGTTGGTATCTGATTTGATTTTAGGCGAATGGGCGCTAGTGATTCACGTCCTTCACGGCGATCACGTCATTCGCCACGTGCATCTGCATCATCTGATTCGAGTCGTGATTCAGTAAGTCCGAGGTATGTGGTTTAAAAAAATTGCGGTGTGAGCAAGGAAGTTGTGAGAAAGCGTAAACTGTGCCTAGGATAAATTTGAAATGCTCAAAACGGGAAAAAGGAAGTATTTAAGTCTGAACTTTTGCATTAAATTGTATTTTAGATGGTTTATTCCTTTGGGTATTGGCTAGAGCTTTGAAGTCTAAATATTGGATATTGTATTATTTGTAGGGGGTTTGGGGGATCTCTACAGATTTTAGATTTTACTCGACATCCAAAGGAATAACGCTGACGCTATCTACAGCGTTTTTTTTTTTTTTCAGCATCTAGATGGGATTTTTTCATCGGCATTATTGTATCTAAGTTCTGTTTTTTCTTGGCAGTCCCCACAGGGTCTATACAATTCCACAGCTTATGTGATTTGTTTGTTTTATTATTTGGAAAAAATGAAGGGAGGAGATTGTTAGCTATTGAGTAACTCTGCACGTTTTTATTTACTTATTAATAATGAAATCGTGAAGCGACGTTTTTATTTCGTCTTTAGGTCCATTCATTGTAGTCTGATATGATTTTTATTCGCCATATATTGACAGTAAAGAACGGTAGTCCGAATTCTTTATTGCTGTTTCATTTTTAGTTTTGATTTCTTTTTTCCATCCTTCAAACATGGGAAAACGACTTTGGTTGACAGTTCTATGTACTCATTGCATAGTAGGATGGGAGGAGAACGTGTGAAAATGATGAAAGAAATAACACGAGTAGAATAATTTAGCAAAGATCGTTCAGGCTACACTATATGTCGGGCTAAGTGATAGTCACCATGCATTGATTTGATGAAAATTAGTGAATGGTAGAGGTATTTTTTCGTTCCAAATATCTCGATTAGAAAGTAGATTAGCAAGTTTAGAATAGTTTTGGTTCCATTTTAGTCCATTCTAATTTTATCCTATTTTTTAGTGGGTCCTCTGGACACTATCATCATGCGTCGAACACCCATACTGTACAGTCAACGGTTATCAAGCTGGGAACACCAAGTTCGCGACGC